TTGGACTTCCAAAAAACACTCATGAGTAAGCTCAGCAATCACAGGATAACATGGCAGGTCTTAAATTGGTTTAACTAGAAGCAAAGAGTAAGAGTTAATGAACAGTTTTCACAGTGGAGGAAAGTGTGAAATGGGATCTAACAAAAACTGATATTGGGACTGGTGCCATTTAATTTGTTTATAAATGGTATGGAACTGGAGGTGAGTCGTATAGTAGTCAGATTTGCAGATAATACCAAAACAGATTGTGAAAGATCTCCAGGAAGATATCTTCACACTTGAGTGAGTGTGCAGCAATGTGGCCAGTGAAGTTCAGTGTAAGAGCAAGATGATGTACATTGGGAAAAAAATCCTAATTCTAAATATACTTTGATAGAGTCTGAACTAGCAGAAACTGAGATGGAAAGAGATCTTGGCATTGTAAGAGCTAGCTTGATTAAAATGTTGACTCAGTGTGTGGCAGCACTGAAACAGGCAAACTCCGTGCTGAGATTATTAGGAGTGGGACTGAAAATAAAATGATGGTATTTATATTGACCTCAATTGAAGTACTTTGTACAGTTTTGATCTCTGTATTCCCCCCCAAAAAAGAAAAGAAAGCAAAGACCTGGGGAAAATACAGAAGAGAGGAACCAAGATGATTCGGGTTGGAGGCCCTTTCTTATAAGGAAAGATTGAAGAGTCAGGGATTTTTTGTTTAGAGAAAATATAACTAAGGGGGTGCATGATAGAAGTGTTCATAAAATTATGAATAGGGTGTAGAAAGTGGACAGAAAATTTTATTTGGTCTCCTGTAAAATTAGGACTTGGGGTCACTGACTGAAGGTAACGTGCAATAGATTCAGGATAGACCAAAGGAAGTACTTATTCATGCAATGAATTATTGCATTGTGGAATTCACTGACAATGACTGTAGTGATGGCCTCTGACATAGATGGCTGTAAAATGGAATTAGCTATGACTAAAGGAAATCTTCATATCCAGTGGCAGGAATGTCTGAATATTAGTGTTTAACAGCATTACAGGAGGCCTTGACCTCTATATAAGCCACCCTGGGCCCGCCTTTGGCGGGGAGGGTGGGGGTATAAATTAAATAAATAAAACAAATAAAATAAAATAATGTATCCTGTTTGTTAATCCTCCAGGGCAATTTATTGACCACTGTGCAAAACAAGATGCTAGAGCAGAATGGACAACTGGTGTGACCCAGTAGGGTATTTATGACCTGTCCTAGCCAGTAAGGCGAAGCAAAGATACAAAATTACGTAGCTTTGCCATTTTCCACTGCAGAGCAGTTCTAAATGCTGGAGTGCTTGCATTGTGGGTCAGGTGAGAGGGAGCACTAGTTCTGGACTGGTGTGATTTCGACCTAGGCTACAGTTCAGAGATCATGTAGTATGAATGGGAATATAAAGATTTTATATATAGGTTTTTCCTTCTTGATTGTTCATATTCATATCTCTCTGGTTTTTATAGAATTATTCTTTAAGTAATATTTTATTAGGATGTTAGAAAGGCCTGTTATGTAAATGTTGTTTATGTTTTTGTAACCAATTATGCCTTTTGAATATTATTCCCATGATGATGATATGATGATGTCAGTCCATGTATAAAATATCATGTATTTCCTGAATATGTTCAGAATATGCTCAAGAAGAAGATGAAGAAGAAAAAGAAGAAAGTTGTCAATTTTTGGTTAACTATTTGGTCTAATTGTTTTCCTATTAATTGAGGCACGTTTCCTGATTATGCTGAGAAGAAAGCAATCAGTTTTGATGGGTCCTTTGGCCTAACTCTTTTCCATATTTCATTACAATAAAATACAAGAACTTCCTCCTCATTTGACTTCATTTTTGACATGGAATCTAATATGTACAACAATCTGTTCATGTACTTTATGTGCCTGTGGGTGCTTTGTGCCAGTGTTACTTGAGCAGGCGACCACTATCTACACCACTCTATATAGCAGCTGGAGCAAATAACAAAAATAACTGTGATATGAATTAAGTCATGTATAGTTAAAATATGTACATGCCTGCTTTTCTCCAGAGCATCTCAGGACTCAAGGCCGGCAACAACAGTATAAAACGATTTGATAAACAAATATTAAAACAGATATAAAAACATAATATGTGTGGGGAGACTGCCTACTTAAAGGCAAAAAAGGACTGTCACTGGAAAAATAACACTAGTATCAGAAAATTCCTTCTTTTTGTTATTTGCTATTGTTCCTGTCCATGTACATAATTTCTCTGTATGTGCACATGCTTAATGCAAACTTTTCAAAAGCCACAGGATGATTGCTAATGAGAATAAATCTTCCAATATTAGGAAGGCAAATTAGGCTTTGAGACTGGAGCACTGAGGCTTGACTACAGGCAGTTGATTTATATGCACTGTGGAAACCAGATGTTTTCAAGGGCTTCAGAGAGATGAGGCCAATTGAGTGCTGTTAGATAAGGGAGGAAGGTTACCAGTCAGATCCAAGAGCTTCCCTGATATTGCCCATTCTTCAAAGGCAATAATGCATCAACACAGATAAATCTTGCTTTAAAGAAAAGCCCCTGTATTTGTACGTGACAGGTAATAGGGCTTTAATTCTTTTTAAATAACTGTACCATTGCTGGAGTTCCAGGCTGCAGGTATGCATTTGTATGTAATTTGGTAGAACGTGTGGTGTGAATGTTTTATTTTGCAGCTTTTCCATGCACCCATGTACACATGGGGAAAAGTTGATATGAACTGTGCTATGCAACTTGGTGATTGCAGTGATAAGCTGCTGGGGAAAGCGCTGCAACATTCACACAAATAGGTTGGTTAAACATTAAGTGATCATTCACTAGCTGCTCACCCTCCATGTGGTTCATGCTCATCTTCCCATGCAAAATATGCCCACATATGCAAGTACATGGAGAAATTCAGAATGTTAGCTGGCCTTGAGTAAAAGTTAGTCTCATTCATTTCATTGAAACTGACTTTCAAGTGCGATTTTAGCCCTCTAAGGCAACAGTCTTACAAATGCTTTGTGTGAGCTATGATTAAAAGTTCTTAAAGTATATTTTTGTTCAATGTTTAGTAATGGATTATATTGCTATCCATTTCAATTGTGATGAGTTTTTTTCCAGTTGTATACAAGGTTTAATTAGTGAAAGATGATCCATGTTGCATTTGTTCTTCATATGCCTGACCTGATAATCTCCAAAGAAGGGGGTGATGGAAGACTATTTTTGGTAGCAAAATGTGCAATGGGGGGAGACCTGCTGAATCCTTTCCCATCCCTTGCCTTACCTCAACGTGCTTCATCACTGCAGGTGTTTTTTCTGCTCCAGCTCTGATACCAGAAATGAGGTGGAGTGGGGGTGGTGCTTCAAGTAACTGAGCATAAGCAGGTGGGGGGTGGGGTTGTCAGCTACTCTTATGTACACAAACTTTTTATAAGTCCATTTTTTAGATGTGACCAGGGGACATGTAAACATAAATCATCATGTCTGCTTCAGTTGCATCTAATATGGATTTCATTGTTGGCAGCTTCTCATAACGTTTGGTCCTTTATTCCCTGGCCCAGTATGTTTTAGTCCTTTGTGTGTTCAGTTTATAGCATAAATAGATGATTATGCAAAAAAAAAAGAAAGAAAAATAAAAGAAAAATAGCTTATGTTGTGAAGAAAACACAGAGCTATGCCTAGAATAATTTGTAAATGTATTCCGTTTATTCCCATATAAGATCGCAAAACCTGCTATAGAAATGATAACATAATGGCTTATTCATGGAAGGAAAACTTTGATAGAATTGCTTGTGTATCTTTGCCTGCTTTTTGAACTTTACAACAGAACTTTTTTTGTCTTGGGCGGCTTACTTTTCCATAACTTCCTTGTTCCTTATCATCATCATGCTATAACAACACCACTGATTATGTAAGAATTGTGCTAAAGAAAGAGGGGGGCTAGTTCATGAAGGTGGTATGCTGTATGGCAGCAGATAATAGCACTTTCTGAAGACAGCTTTATTCAGAGTAAGGGAGGGAAGTAAGTTTATTTACAGTGAGGGAGGGATCCCTTGTAGGATGTCATCATTTGGCTCTAGATTGAAAACCAGTTGCTTTCATGGTAGACCCATTCATACTGCTGCTTGCAGGAGTGACATATATAAATATATTAAAGAGTACATTTTAATCCCTCCTTCCTCTGAAGAGCTCAGGGCATTGTACATGGTTCTCTCTTCTTCCGTTTGACCCTCCTAATAGCTCAGAGGTAGGCTACATTGAGGAAGGCTGGTTCACAGTTGCCTGGTGGCCAAGGGCCAACTAGACATGAAACTGGGACCTCCCAGCAGTTTGTTTAGTACTTGAAATAACAGGTATGTGTAGGCCCCATTCAGATTGAGCCTGTGGCATTGCAGGGGGGGGGGGAGTTAACTCCTCCCAGTAATATTTTATCAACCTGAAATGACCCATCAAGCTGCTATTTTCTCTGTTGGGGCAAGCTGGGGCAATTTCAGTCCCTGTATGTTTCCCCCATAGGGCAAATAGTAACTCTATAGCACTGTTTCATGTTGGGACAATTGTGTGTATGTGTGTGGGGGGGAGGAACCTTAAAAAAGCCCTTCCCTCATGCCACAGACTCAATGTGAATCAGGCCCACAACCCCCTGTTGTTTAAAGAACTCGTGTTCATTTTTTCCATGAATGAGAATTTAAACTTGGATCTACTGGGTCAGTCAAACACTGTTGATGACACCACACTGGCTTTGTTTATGTGAGTACTGTTACTTAAAGAGTAACAAGGATGTAAACAACATCTCAGTTCTGTGAACATGAGATTCTCCTTTGGTGGAAGAGGATGTCTAGCATATGGGATTACTCGTCCCATCTGTTCTAGTTGTAATAGGCATTTTTGACTAGGACAGGCAACATATTAACTGGCTTTACTATCCATCCAGAAGCACCATTATAAAATTATGCATAAAATTCTGTAATTTTGGCAAAATTCTCTGTCCTTTAGGATGAACTTTCTGATAGCCAAGCAGGTTCAAAATCTACTACGCCAATATCGACTGCTGCTTCAGATGCACTTGCACCTGCTGAAACTCCCCTGAATGAAGACAATGAAGGACTTGTGAAGAACTTGGAGACAGGGAACATAAAATTGGACATAAGTAAGCACACTGAAGTACAGGTAGCTCAAGAAACAAGAAATGTATCCATTGGTAAGTTCCTGAAATGGTTGTGTAGCTATAGTTAATATTTTGAGAAATTTTAAAATCCAGATTTATTGTGTTAAGAAATAAAATTGGCAGCTCTGGGTTTTAGAAGACTAGCTATCAGTTAATATTTAGGGCTGCTTAAATATTATGCAGCTATGATGCAGGAAGCGCCTTCATGTAGACAGCATTACACACACTAGTAAAACAAAATTGGCTAGGGCTTCTTCATACAGTGTATATTGGAATAAATGTATATGTAAAAATCCATGCGCTGGTGGAATACTGCTCTTTGAAGGGCTAGCACTTTGATCTGAAATATACACCATAGAAGTTTCCATGAAACTTACTTCCATGTATAATGCATGTGGCATCATGGTATTGTCAGTATTTTTTTAATTGCCTGAGGAATGTTGATGGAAACTACCAATGAATCATCTGAGGGCCAGCCACTTCACACACTGCAAAAGTTCTATATGAAAGCAAACTCTGTGTAGGATTTTTGTAGCACAGGAAACAGCCATTATAACTTTTAGATTCTTCTAAGCATGGGAAAGCCTAGGAAGAATATACTATGGTAATTCAGGGGAACTATTTTGCCATTTGGCAAGATCCATCATACTGAAACCAAATCAGTATATCAGATTAATCTGTAGTGGTTGAGTTGATCCTACAATCTGTGAAAATCACTGATGGATTCAGATCTCCCCCTCCCATCAGAAAACAGACTCCTGGGGTCAGAGAATACACTTGGGTTAATAATCATATGGGTTGGGAAGGCGAAGGGAGCAAAATCTCTGTTCCTTCCTCCTATGTCAGCACAGCTGCACTGGTGCAAAAAAGACGAAAATGTGATTTTGTCCCTTCACACTGCAGCCTCTAGAGCCATATGATTAATAGCTACTTGGTTCTCACTTCTCTCAGTATCAATTTTCCCAGGGTTGAAAAAGGCCACTGAGGGAAGGGAAATGAGAAATTCCTGATCCTCACAGTTATGGATTGTAGAATATAACCCATAGGTTATATGTATTATTTATTTATTTATTTTATTTTATTTATGACATTTATACCCCGCCCTCCCCGCGAACGGGCTCAGGGCAGCTCACATTAGGCACCAAGTGCGTTCAATATACAATTACATAGTATAAAATACAGAATTAAAATTACTTAAAACAACTTAATAGGCTATTAGCAGAGATCAGGAAGGGGAAAGGTGTATCAATACATCTAAGACCCTGTAAAATCCAGGAGTCCCATCATTAATTAGACTTTATATGTGACATATCAGGTTTCATAAGCAGTTTTTTCCTTTCTGTTAATTGATATTTACTACTTTCTTCCCAAGGTTCTAATGAAAATGAAGACAAATCTGAAGTTCAGGCAATCATTGAATCCACCCCAGAGCTGGATATGGATAAAGACCTTAGTGGATATAAAGGTTCAAGGTACTTGGCCAGTGAAGAATTTAGAAAAATGGAAAAGTTATAACAATCTTTGATTAGGGAAAATGCCCCTGCAGCCCCTTAATAATTCAGTCAGCCACGAAACCATTTATCATTTTACATAGGGTGCTTAGGAATGTCAGAAACAGTTTGAATGCATCCTATACTACCTCAGCTGAGATACCAAGAAGGTCCAAGCATTTTATTCAGAGTCCCTCAGGAAGGTGAGGGCAATCTGACAGACTTTGTGCATCCGGTCTTTCCAAGTGTCTGGCACAGAGTGAAGGACTGTACCCCTTAGATATGCAGAAGACTTGGGAGAGGAGGGGAGAAGAGGATAAAATGAACCAAATTGGTGTTGAGGCAGAAGTGAAATGAGATTAGCAGTAGAGAAGAGGATAAAAGGTAGGAAGAGAAGACTATGTGAGCACCTCTGTGTGATGGTATGACTTGTGTCTCCCACCCTTCTGCTTTGTATACACTGGGTTACTTACCTGATTCTGGGGATGTGCCTCTCTGTAGGGGCTGCCAGATGAATGTGCAGTGTTATGCACAAGAACATATGTTGTCAGATGGATCCAGTGGTTCAGAAGGTGTTGATGAGTCAGTTGGAGAGAGATTCATGGGTAGATTGAAGAGGAAATTTTTACTGTATTGTAAAAAACTGGATCAGAGCTGTTGGCAATAAATGAAAATTCAGTAATCTGCTTGTAAAATGGATTTGGAGCTACATGAGGTGGTGGAAAGTCCTGTCAAGTCACAGCTGACAAGGCCAACCCCATAGGGCTTTCAAGGCAAGAGACGTTGAGAGGTGGTTTGCCTTTGTCTGCCTCTGCTTAGGAGCCGTGGATTTCCTGAGTGTTCTCCCATCCAAAGAGTAACCAGGCCTGACCCTGCTTAGCTTCTGAGATCTGATGAGATTGGACTAGCCTGGGTCTACATAGGTAATGTTTAAATCAGTTAACACTAGCATCTTTAAAAAAAAACTTTACTCTTTAAATTGCAATTCTGTTGCACAGCACTCCTGCCAAAGGCATAGAAAACAAAGCATTTGATCGTAATACAGAATCACTCTTTGAAGAGTTATCTTCTGCTGGCTCTGGTCTGATTGGGGATGTGGATGAAGGAGCCGACTTGCTGGGTAAGTGGATATTTCAGAAACTGCTGTTGAAGATAAATCGTAAAAATAAATGGAAATTTAAGAAACTTGAAGATTGCTCCATGGCTTTTAAACATTGAAATTATGTTTAAAGAAGTATTGAAGTAAGATGATTAACTTTGACTATGTAATATTCCTTTTAGGTTCCTTACAAATGGTTTAATGAGGATGGAAAAATTCATCCTGTTCTAAAATGTGTCTATCAGTTTGTTCCAACCATTCAGTGGATAATGCAGGTTTGCAAGAATGGTAGCTTATGGCCAGCCTCTAGGCCAGTGATGGTGAACCTTTTAGAGACCGAGTGCCCAAACTGCGACCCAAAACCCACTTATTTATCGCAAAGTGCCAACACGGCAATTGAACCTGAATACTGAGGTTTTGCTTTAGAAAAAACAACTCATACATTAACTTAAGATGATCCAAACAAAGTAAAGAAAGCAATCCCAAATGCTTTCATTTACTTAAAATTATTTGGCAGAGAATTCGACACTTTAATGATGGTCTAGGCCTGGCTGGGGCGATGGCACGTGTGCCCACAGAGAGGGCTCTGAGTGCCACCTCTGGCACCCGTGCCATAGGTTCGCCACCACTGCTCTAGGCAATAATCAAGTATTGTGTCATAGGGAGCTCTGAAGCCACTCCCAGCATCATCAGTCTACACAACAATAAGGGGAAGCGTATAACAACCTAAGGTGCTGTTTTTTTAAGGAAAGCATACATCTCTATCCTGCCTCCTCAATTAATCGTACATAGGCATTGACTTTCGGGCTCAAGCTCACATCTTCCCCAGTTATAGCCCACATGTCTTCGTTATAGCTCATAATTAGTGCCTTGGAAGTAATGTGGGCAGCCTGTGCTTGCCAATAGAAAAATCACCTGCTGACTGTAATTTACTATGCATTGCACCACTACCGCCATACAAATTACTTTTAGTAATTATGTTGTATTTTATGTTGATATTTGTATTGCTGTTTTATCTGTGATAATTTTATGTAAGCTGCTCTGAGCCTGCTTCGGCAGGGAGGGCGGGGTACAAATCAAATCAAATAAATCAAATCCCCTGAATTCCTGTGTTCATCAAATACCCTTATCAGTGATGATCTTGCATTGTGCAATTGGATCAAATCCCCTAGAGATGGAACTGAATTGTTCAACTTAGTTGCTAATAGAAGTGTCCAGTGGCATCAAATGGTACTGCTTCCAGATCTCCAGGCACTGGGTGCTATAGGATGGGTGATACAGAGTTTTGTATATATAATTATCAGGCAGTTATTGAACAAATTATATCTAAAGATTGGTGGGCCCCTTTGCCAATATGCTGTGGAAATAATTTGGGGCAATCAGATTTTCCCAATTTGAGCTTGTGAATGAATCCCCTACCTGCTATTCCTCTTGTAAACAGCACAAAGGGCCTCATTTTGCTCTTTCTTTTAAAAGTTTAAATAAATTATAATTTACAAGCCCACTTGATAAATGAGGGTAGTAGCCATCCAGGAATTTTCTAGTAACTATTGGCCATTCTGCCACTGGTGATCAACAGCATCTAGTACTGAGTCAGGAGATGGGTCTGTAATCCAGGAGTCTCTGTATGAATATGGTTGCCTTCTGTGCCAGCGTAGAACTTTTTATGTACAAATCACAATTGTGGGCCAGCTGCCAGAATTTGAATACTGCTGGAATTTTATCACGTGCAAGTCGACATCATCCTTTTTACTTACTATGTGTGTTTGAGGTGTACAACTCATGTACGTGTTAGTTGGTTGAGCTTTGCCCCAGTGCACTGCTTTATATGCTGTCATTTTGGATTTACGTAGTGCGTTTACCTCTTTTGTAGCTTTCTCCCCCATTTAACACTCAATTCTGTTGAGTCAGGGGAGGTGTGGAGTTGACAGTAGCAGAGCAGTAGGATGACTTGGTGGCAGCAGTAGATATGGGGGCTGCACTGAACACCCACTTCCCTATGGTATGTGTTCACTATGCACAGGATTACAAGCATAGGCTCATCTCACTGTATTAGCCAGAACCAACCAAAAAACATAATAGCAAAAGCTTCTCTTTTTAAAGCTGTGGTTCCACTGAAGTTTAGCGTGCTCCACCTTTTAACTTCACTTTCTCCTGTATTCCCCTCCCCATGGTATTTCCTTTTTCCCTTTTCCTGGTAACACCCATATCTTCAACGTTTCCCTGCTTTCTTCTCTCCTTCCCACCCACCCACCAATCTACATTTTATCTGCCCCCTATCTCCAGCTGTATTTATTTACTACATTTATATCCTGCCTTTTTCCACAATGGGGAGCCAAAGCAGCTTATATCATCCTCTTCCATTTTATCTTCCCAACAGCCCTGTGATGGGATAGTGTGTGAGAGTGGCTGAGAGTGTGTGTCTTGCCCAAGATCACCAAGGGAACTTCCATGACAAAGTGGGGATCTGAACCAGATCCTTGTTTGAAACTCTAACCACTGTGCAGCACTGGCTTTTATGGAGGGCTCCTGTTGAACACTAGTGAGCAGCTGGGCATAGATGAGTACTGCAAGTCACATGGTATCAACTTGCCCAATGATTGCTGCTGGGCACTGATGAATCCTCCCTCAAAGATCAAAACAGCCCTGGAATGAGCACTGCCCCCTCCCTTTGCCATTTGCCAGCATTTCAGGATTGGTTTCTGTTAGTAAAACCTAGAAATGGCTGCTGAGGGCATATGTTTCTTAAAAGTCCATTCTCAGCTGAGGCTGCAGTGGAATGTGGAACATGAGGACATGTAGAACATGAGAATCCTTGAAGCTATCGGCAAGGTTGCCCTTTATGACAGACTCCTGACACGTCCCCATTTTCAGGCAGATTTTGCTGCCAAAAATGTTTCCCTCAGTGACTGAGCCGCCCTTCAGTAGTGTGTATTTCAGCTTTATTTTATTTTATAAGCTTTAACTGTCCCACCCTGTCACAGATATTAGTTTAGGCTTATGACCCCACACAGGAACTAGAGGGAATACAGGAGCTGGCTTGTTTTAAAATACCCTCATAAAATGGCATGTGACGTAAAATTAACTTTCAAAACAGAATAAAGATTTTAACGAACAGGCAGGGAATAGATAAAAATGAGGATTCCAGGTATAGTGGTTGCTGAGGACAAACTTTCTAATATATACAGATCTGAATTCTTAAACCATACAAGAGAGTGTTGTTGTGACTTATTTTCAGAGTTTCAAGATTTTTTCAATGAGAAATGCTTTGCTTAGTATATATTTCAGCTGTTAAAATCGTAAATATAGTTTCTTAGAGAATAGTGTTTGCTTATAGTTTCTTTCAGATATTACAGCTTTTCACTAACTCTTGAGGTGTCTAACCATCTCCCCTTTATCACAGACCAGGATTCTCTTCGCAACCCCTGTCACTGGCAGGAAGTTGTTCTCCTTGTCCCTGAGAAGCAATAACTCCTTTTACTATTTGACTTGTATGGGAGTTCTCTCTAACTACCCAGACCTTCTGCCAAATCCTTCTCCAGTATCCATTGTCTGTATAAAGCTGTTCTGTAGCTTTCTTGGTGGAGAATCTAAATTCTCTCTCAGAGTAGTTCTAATATATTTAAGACAATGGGGTCTCTCTTCTTCTCTCTGTAGAAGTACTTTTCTGACTATTGCCTGGCAGAAATCACTGGCTTCCAAAATCTCTTCCCTCAGAAGCCAAACCCTTTGGCTACTGATCCAGATGTTAGATTTCAGACAGAGACCAAAAGGTGAATGGAAAAAAACTTTCCCCTCCAGATCAGCTGTTTTTATTTCCTCTCTGAGCTGATGCTGCCCAATCAGAGAGCGAGTAGAGCAGCCAATCACATAAGCTCTTTGCTCCGGGGAAGATTAACTCTTGAACTCCCTGACTCTCTGACACAAGCAGCATTTTAAAAAGCCTACTTTTCTTTGCAATCCGTCACATCCCTCTACAACTACTCCTGCCCCTGGGGCATAAACTGTGGTTTAACACAGAACTGGATGTCCTGAAGAGGGCTTGGAGATTCTAGAACGACGCTGGCAGTGAACACGTACCAAATCTGATTGATTACACTATAGAGCCCTTGGAAGACTTATGAAGTGGTAGCAAAGAAATGTTGCTACTCTGCTACTATAGCTTCAGCTAGCTCATGACCATCCCAACTGTTCAAGGTAGCTCAGCAACTGCTGATGCCAAAATCTGAGCATTTATTATCTCAGGAAGAGACAATTAGCTGTGAAATATTTGCCAAGCTTTTTGCTGATATATCAAAAATACACTCTGATATGGATGTCAGTTGTAACAGGCACACCGGTAGACAAGACAAATACATTGCCAGGTCTATTCATGGATCATTTGTCCCAGTTTCCATGATGGATGTTGACAAAATCCTGGTATCGGTGAAGACCAGTACTTGTACTCTGGATCCTTGCCCATTCTGGCTGCTAAAATCATCTCTCCCTTATAATAATTCAGTAAGACGCAAACTGACGCAGGGGATAGAAAATGCGCACCCACAGTGTTAGGCCGCCTCCGCTGTCCCTCAGAGGCTTACCCATGTCCCATTGGCTATGTTCTCCAAGTGCCGCCTCTGACGCAGCCTCACGCAGCGGGGCGCCACGAAGGATGGCGCCGGCGCGGAACGAGGGCCGGGAGCCGACTTTCAGCCTGCGGGAGACGGTGGCCGTCGCCCTGGCCGAGCCGCGGGTCGCCTCGCTGCCGGGGGAGAAGGCGAGAGCCGCGAGTGCCTGGAGGCGAAGGCAGCCTTGGCAAGAGCGGGGAGGGCGACGAGGCGAGGGGGCCGCTCCTGCACGGACGAGGGCTGGGAGCCAACTTTCAGCCTGCGGGAGACGGCGGCCGTCGCCCTGGCCGAGGCGCGGGTCGCCTCGCTGCCGGGGGAGAAGGCGAGAGCCGCGAGTGCCTGGAGGCGAAGGCAGCCTTGGCAAGAGCGGGGAGGGCGACGAGGCGAGGGGGCCGCTCCTGCACGGACGAGGGC